GGTGGGTGGTTGGATTTGATGATCTTAAAGGTCTTTTCCAACCTTAGTGATCCCATTATGCTATGGTTCTGAAAACATGACTGGAAACCTTGCACACCTGAAAACCTTGAACACACCAGACCGGAGCATCCTGGGCTGCTCTCCAGGTAGAGCTGGAGCCACCGAACACAGTGAAAAACCAGAGGCAGAAATCAATACAGACACAATTTTATAATAAAAAAATTGTGCATTTTGACAAGCAGTTGGCAGTTTTAACTCATTCCACTTAATGCAGAAAATACATGTCTGGAACCCAGACGTCTGCTATTTCTAATGCCACATATAATGACCTCCTAAGACTGTGCTTGTACTAAACTCCTGCACTTGGCTACCAAAGGCAAGTCCACCCTGTAGTTGACTCTAGCTGATCCTAGAACTGATGCCCCTCTTCCAAGGCATTATTTTCACTCAGAAGTCATTGTTACTATCTTTTAATCAAAATTGCCTCTGAAAAATCAACATGTGGGACTTGGATTGATTTGTTTGATTATTAAAAAAGTAAACAAAGATCATTTTAATGTGTTTTTTTTCTTGTTTGTTTGTTTACAAGATGTCCATGGGGAAATAAAGCTATTTCTCTACTAGTAAACTAAACAACATTGTGGCTGGTTGTTGTGTCCAGAGGCCCACTGAGAGTGTGGCCACAACCCAATTAAACCTTCACAACCTGGGCAGCACAAGATTCAGCACCCAGGAATGGCACTTATTAGCTTACTGGGATAGATGGAGCTCCAGTGACCATAATACCTCCTTCCTTAGCAGAAAGAAATTATATTCAGTGAGCTTTGAAATGAAGAGGAAAGCATCGCTGAGGGGTTATGTGCTATGGGAGATGAAGGACTGAACTCAGCTCCCGAGTACCCTGCCAGTCTGCAGCCCCATGTGGCTGTGAACCCCTTTGTGATGTTAATTTGTTCCTCCCATGAAGGCCTGTGGAGGAAAATGAATTATTTTTCTTCTCTGCATCAACCTAACCTCACTGTGGAAACCCCAAGGCTTCAAGCCTCCTGTGTCTTCCCAGAAAAGGCAGAGACCAAATGGATTCTGTTTCACATCACATTTGGGAACAAAGACATAGTCCAACACTCAACCTCCTAGAGGAGCTCCCATACACACATAAAACACCTTATGCACACACACAGCTCACAGACAGTCAGGTATGGGCACGTCAACACAACCACACAGCTTTCAGCTCAGCACTGCTTTGCACCTTCCTCCCTCATCCCCAGGGCTTGGGCTGGTGCTGTGTGGACACAGTCACGTTCACTCAGTTGCAGATGTTTCTGCTCTGGCATGTGGTAGAGAGCAGAGTTGTGGTGATGGGTTGAGAGGTTGCACCACTCTGACATGATCAAGAGAGGTATTAGCACAAGAGGGGGACCCTAAGGCCACCCACACTCCCTCTAGACAGCCTGCCTTGGGTGCCAAGTGTCCCAAGATTGCCATGGCTAGACCTTTTGAGCCCCATCCCTTGATGGGCTATGCCACTGGTGTCTCTGCCCTCCATGCTACAAACAAGCAGGTGTGCAGCTGTGTGCACTGAAAGGCAAGAAAATACAGCATCCATCTCACGTCCTGCCAAGCAGGGAGGGGATCCCGTGTTTGCTGCAGGTCCAAAGCTCATTGCATCAAGATTTCTCCCTTTAATTTTACAGTCACACTTTATCTTCTTTACACAAATGTCCCTTTTCTCCTCTTGAAGTTCCCTTCTCTGATGGATGTGTGTTGCTACAGATCCAGGATTTGCTGGTGCTGCTGTTGGGGGAATGTCAGCCTGGGGTGATTTCTCTGATATGAGATGTCCAGGGTGTAAATAACCTCCTTTGTCTTACTGCTTGTAGGGGTTATCTCACAGTGTCTTGTGGCCACTGTTGACTACAAGATCAGAAACACATATTGCTCTGGGTATAACTTCTAGGGCATAGAGGTGACTTTTGGCTGACAGAAGTCCATGTATAAATGTGTCCATGATTTGTCCATAGTCTATACCACAGGCAAAATTCAGCTAAAGTAACTGGATTCAATGGAGCAAGTCAACAAATGCGTCTTCTCACCATGTCCTGGGGACATGTACCATTTAACCTACAGTCCCTCACCTGCTGGGAGGGCTCTTTTCCACAGGAAATCAGCTTCCCACCTGAAATAGCTCCATGGACCCTGTGCTTGGGCCAGCAGAGGTTGAGGACTGATGCCCAAGGAGACATCCATGGAAGAGAGTGACTTATTTTCTGAAGAGTTGGCTCTAGCCTGAAAGGAGGTACAGGGGAAGGGAAAGGGATTTTGCTCTGCTTTGTGATTGCTCTTCACCCCTTCGTTTGATTTTTGAGTACAACCAACCACACTGGAGCTGCATCTTCTTAGTTGCTTGGGGAGGAAGAGAAGGAGAAGAGATTTTGCAAAGGAACAGGCTAAGAGCACATTTTAGATTCAGATGCTTTCTCCATACAGGTCCTGTCCTCTCAACAAGCACCTCTGGGCCATCTCAGTGCCCAGCTCTGCTGCTCTACCCTGCCACCAAGACCCGCTGTGCGTTCCCTTTTTGCTCCTGTTCCCTCTCTTACTCTTTGGCCTCTTTTTGCCCGGCCACCAGGCAGAGAGAGCCCTGGCACTGCCCAGTCCTCTCTCTCTTTCTCCCCTACCCTTCCCTCTCCTTCCCCCCTTCAACACAGCGAGAACCGGCGGGAGTTGATGTTCATCTTGGTGACTCCAATGAGCTTAGTAGTCATTGTTACTATCTTTTAATCAAAATTGCCTCTGAAAAATCAACATGTGGGACTTGGATTGATTTGTTTGATTATTAAAAAAGTAAACAAAGATCATTTTAATGTGTTTTTTTTCTTGTTTGTTTGTTTACAAGATGTCCATGGGGAAATAAAGCTATTTCTCTACTAGTAAACTAAACAACATTGTGGCTGGTTGTTGTGTCCAGAGGCCCACTGAGAGTGTGGCCACAACCCAATTAAACCTTCACAACCTGGGCAGCACAAGATTCAGCACCCAGGAATGGCACTTATTAGCTTACTGGGATAGATGGAGCTCCAGTGACCATAATACCTCCTTCCTTAGCAGAAAGAAATTATATTCAGTGAGCTTTGAAATGAAGAGGAAAGCATCGCTGAGGGGTTATGTGCTATGGGAGATGAAGGACTGAACTCAGCTCCCGAGTACCCTGCCAGTCTGCAGCCCCATGTGGCTGTGAACCCCTTTGTGATGTTAATTTGTTCCTCCCATGAAGGCCTGTGGAGGAAAATGAATTATTTTTCTTCTCTGCATCAACCTAACCTCACTGTGGAAACCCCAAGGCTTCAAGCCTCCTGTGTCTTCCCAGAAAAGGCAGAGACCAAATGGATTCTGTTTCACATCACATTTGGGAACATAGTCCAACACTCAACCTCCTAGAGGAGCTCCCATACACACATAAAACACCTTATGCACACACACAGCTCACAGACAGTCAGGTATGGGCACGTCAACACAACCACACAGCTTTCAGCTCAGCACTGCTTTGCACCTTCCTCCCTCATCCCCAGGGCTTGGGCTGGTGCTGTGTGGACACAGTCACGTTCACTCAGTTGCAGATGTTTCTGCTCTGGCATGTGGTAGAGAGCAGAGTTGTGGTGATGGGTTGAGAGGTTGCACCACTCTGACATGATCAAGAGAGGTATTAGCACAAGAGGGGGACCCTAAGGCCACCCACACTCCCTCTAGACAGCCTGCCTTGGGTGCCAAGTGTCCCAAGATTGCCATGGCTAGACCTTTTGAGCCCCATCCCTTGATGGGCTATGCCACTGGTGTCTCTGCCCTCCATGCTACAAACAAGCAGGTGTGCAGCTGTGTGCACTGAAAGGCAAGAAAATACAGCATCCATCTCACGTCCTGCCAAGCAGGGAGGGGATCCCGTGTTTGCTGCAGGTCCAAAGCTCATTGCATCAAGATTTCTCCCTTTAATTTTACAGTCACACTTTATCTTCTTTACACAAATGTCCCTTTTCTCCTCTTGAAGTTCCCTTCTCTGATGGATGTGTGTTGCTACAGATCCAGGATTTGCTGGTGCTGCTGTTGGGGGAATGTCAGCCTGGGGTGATTTCTCTGATATGAGATGTCCAGGGTGTAAATAACCTCCTTTGTCTTACTGCTTGTAGGGGTTATCTCACAGTGTCTTGTGGCCACTGTTGACTACAAGATCAGAAACACATATTGCTCTGGGTATAACTTCTAGGGCATAGAGGTGACTTTTGGCTGACAGAAGTCCATGTATAAATGTGTCCATGATTTGTCCATAGTCTATACCACAGGCAAAATTCAGCTAAAGTAACTGGATTCAATGGAGCAAGTCAACAAATGCGTCTTCTCACCATGTCCTGGGGACATGTACCATTTAACCTACAGTCCCTCACCTGCTGGGAGGGCTCTTTTCCACAGGAAATCAGCTTCCCACCTGAAATAGCTCCATGGACCCTGTGCTTGGGCCAGCAGAGGTTGAGGACTGATGCCCAAGGAGACATCCATGGAAGAGAGTGACTTATTTTCTGAAGAGTTGGCTCTAGCCTGAAAGGAGGTACAGGGGAAGGGAAAGGGATTTTGCTCTGCTTTGTGATTGCTCTTCACCCCTTCGTTTGATTTTTGAGTACAACCAACCACACTGGAGCTGCATCTTCTTAGTTGCTTGGGGAGGAAGAGAAGGAGAAGAGATTTTGCAAAGGAACAGGCTAAGAGCACATTTTAGATTCAGATGCTTTCTCCATACAGGTCCTGTCCTCTCAACAAGCACCTCTGGGCCATCTCAGTGCCCAGCTCTGCTGCTCTACCCTGCCACCAAGACCCGCTGTGCGTTCCCTTTTTGCTCCTGTTCCCTCTCTTACTCTTTGGCCTCTTTTTGCCCGGCCACCAGGCAGAGAGAGCCCTGGCACTGCCCAGTCCTCTCTCTCTTTCTCCCCTACCCTTCCCTCTCCTTCCCCCCTTCAACACAGCGAGAACCGGCGGGAGTTGATGTTCATCTTGGTGACTCCAATGAGCTTGAGCGGCGTGGAGAGGCTGAAGGAGTTGACAAGGGGGAAGTCACAGAAGAGGTCAGAGAGCTCGTCCCTCTCCTCCAGCTCGTACGTGGCATCGTTGAGCATGCGCTGGTGCAGGTGGCAGGTCTGCTCGATCTTCAGCTTGTTGATGTCGCTGCGGAGGCGCATGAGCTGCCTGGCCAGCTGCTGGTCCTGCAGGCGCATCTCTGCCTGAAACACAAGGTGGAGGGTGGGGAGAGAAGAAGGCATTGGCAAGGGCACAACAAAATTTGCTCAGCATGCTGTTCCCTGCTGATGGAAAACGTAGCTTAACTAGAGATCCTACCCGGCTGTAAAGAACAGGAGGAGACATGAATTGTCCAAACAAACAATGTGTCCCAGTCAAAGACCAGCTCAGGATGGTGAATTTTTAATGTTCAGGAAGTCTGTGCCTGCTTAGGTTTTCAGGAGCAGCAGGAAACTGGAATTAAAGAGAGCCATGCCAAGTTTTTGGCTTAGATATTCATCAGAAAAGCTTCAGAGCCTCGATCTTAACCTTAAGCAAAGTGCAAATTAATTTTGCTCATAATGGAGCAGCTGCGGTAGGAACTGAAGGTGGAAAGAAGCAATTAAAAGAACCCCAGAGAACGGATTCCCACACATTCAGCTCAGGTTTCTGGTCTGCATAAATCAGAGCTGGTTCACAGCAGCCAGGAACGTGGCCCTCCAGGTTCCCTGTGGCTTACCTTGCTGACTTGAAATGGCTCTCGGGATGGGGCCTCCATGGTTTCCCACAGGAGAGAGAACAAGTATCCCGCAGGCTAATGAGCTAAGTGTTTTGGAGGGTTTTTTTCCTTCCCTGGCACCTGACTTCAGAAGGTGGAATATTCAGAAGTGATGAAAGAACCTTCCACCATTGTTTTGGATTGGTTTGGTTTGGTTTTTTTTTTCATTATTAGTTTTGAAATTCTAGCTTCTAATTAAGCAGAAAATTTATTGCCACAGGATATTGTCAGTGGTGAAGGAAAGAGCTGAACATTTGGTGCAAGAATCAGCTTTGATTTGGAAAACAGAAGCAGGCAGAGCTAGAACAGCAGACTTCGAGAAGACAATCCCCATGTCTCACCCAACATCCCTTTTCACAGAAGAGCAACAAACCACAAAAGCCACAAAGAAAAGAGAGTGGTGGGAGAGAAGCTGAACTGCTCTTAGCAAACTCTGTAGCTTAAATCTCTCTCTAAGTGCTGGAGGCAAGGAAGGAGCAAAACTGGCTGGAGAGCA